TTCCACAGACTTTGAGTTTACTCATGTTCTGGACAGAGGAGAACTCTATACAGGGCTTCAGTGAAAGTTCTGACAAGATGCCAGGTCCTGTGAGTTATTTTCCTCATTTTATTCTTGTGGGAATTTCTCAATTTTCTCAGTTTCTTTTGCGGTTTTCTGTGATGTAAAACTGCTTCCAGTTACACCATTCTATGTTAAATGAGTTCATTAATATATTTGAAATGTGTATGTTTAAGAGTTATTACTAACACAGGCAGTTCTGAAGAGGAAATTTCTGTGTAAAGTCTTCCATTCTTTCATTGAAAAATATTGTGGAAAAACTATGGGTACTGCACAGTGGAAGAGGAGTTGGACAGAGTTTATGAGACTTGGTTCACACCCCAGAACCACCAAAAAATATGAGGATAAAGAGGAGGAAAGAAACGATGGAGGAGGGAGGGAAGTGAAGGGGAAGGAGGAGGAGCAGAGGGAGGAGGAGGAACAGGAAGAGGAAGAGGAGGAGGCAGAGAAACAGAGGGAGGAGGAGTTGGAGAAGGTGGAGGAGGAGGAGGAGGAACAGGGGGAGGAGGAGGAGGTGGAGAAGGTGGAGGAGGAGGTAGGGGAGGAGGGGGAGGAAGTGGAGGAGGAGGTGGAGAAGGTGGAGGAGGAGGCATGTCTAATTTTAGCTATCCAAAGACAAACCTCAAAGAGTAAAGAAATATTTAACTTTGGACAAACACAAGAAAAGAAATAAGCAAAGTTGAAGGCTGAAATATTCTGAATGGAAGGAGGAAGGAAAGGACATATGGAGGTTCAAACTCACCAGAGTAACAACAAAGATTGTCTGGTCTGCCAACTAGTTTCGGCATTTTCACACAAAACAGGCTGTACTCTTTGAGGAGGAGGAGGTGGAGGTGGGGAAGGAAGAGGAGGAGGTGGGGGAGGAACAGGGGGAGGAGGAGGAGCAGGGGGAGGAGGAGGAGGAGCAGGGGGAGGAGGAATGAAGAAACATTCCGTGTGAAAGTCAACATTTTCACCTGTTGTGTGAAACTTCCTGTTGATGTGATGGCACAGAAGACAGACTTCGGAATTCTGAGAACTGGTCTCTCTATCACAAACACAACTTACGTAGCAAGGCTGATGACTGTATTGGAACTCTGGAGCATCTAGGTGTTTTCAGGAATTAGGAGCCGGATTAGAGGAGGAAGAAGCTGACCCTCCTGATTCACTGGCAGAGGACATTGCTCAGTCAGAAGTGAGCTGCTTTACCTGTCCAGTGAGGCACTGAGCAGCACACAGAGGCAGAATAGCTCAGCTGCACTGGAATGAATGTGTCCAAGGTGATGTCTGACAGTGAGTTTATAGAACACTGTTTACTTATCTTCCCCACCACTGCAGGCTCTTATCAACTTTCTGTTTCCTGTTCCCCTATGATTCATGAGCCTAGGGAGGAATGTTGTGATCTAGGTACCTACTTTAGGCTGAGTCCTCTGATGCTTCTTATTCTCTGTGCTTTGACTAGTTGTGGGTCTCTGTGTAATCGCTGTGTTCTGAAAAGTAGCTGAGCAGGCCAGGGGAAGAATGTAGCATTGCTCTACGGTCTCCGCTTCAGTTCCTGTCTGGCTTTCCTCAATGCAAGACCATGAGCTCCAAGCCAGATATACTCTTTCATCCACAAATGGGTTGTGGTGAGTTTTTTATTTTTATTAAATTTTTGTGTATTTCATACAGAGCATCTCAATCTTAATCATCTTTATACCCCCGTCCCCACTGGCACCCTCCAATATCCCAGTTCTCATTAATGAAGTTCCCTCATGCAACAGAGGACCAGCAACACAAAAGGTCAGAAATGGCCAAAACATAGAGATTAAGAGTCTGCATGACACTGGCCATGGTGAGTATGTTATTGCAGAAATAGAAAGAAAACTAAAACAGACTATCTAACCTGTCTAGTCACAGATTCTTGGGCCTGATAAAAGTGCCAGGTATGGATTCCATCTTATTAAGTGAATATTAAATCCAGTCAGAAGAGTTTGGTTACTCCTGTAACACTCATGCCACTATTACACCTGTGGGCACCTCTTTCCAGTGCCACTCATCATCTTAGCTCAGAGGGGTCACAGATGGGTAACAATAATTGTGACTTTATGGTAGCATGCACAGCACCTCCAGCACTAGGACAGCACTAAGAAAAGTTGTTAATGAAGAAGCTTCAAGATTACTACCGAGTGTTCACTCTGGCAGCACATATACCAAAATTGGGTTACTATGAAAATTAGCATGTCCCTGCACAAGGAAGACACACTATTTCAGGAAGCATTCCATAGTATTAAAAAATATATTATCAAGTAATTTCTCCATGTTTGGTCTATGGTTTAAATAGGTGGTATCTCTAGTAAATAGTGTCTTACCATCAAATTCTGGCAGGTAACCATGAGAAACAGCAATATCCAGTATTGTTTGAGGGTATATGGGACCCTCTTAGTCAACTACTCTGTAAGAAATGGTCCATTCCTGGCAAGTGGCTGTATTCTTTTTGCTAGCCCCTGATGTCTTTTAGGGGTGATTACCCTCAAATCAAGTTATTGAGAAATTCCACACACTCTTTATATATGCACATGCATGTATTTGACGAAGCCTCTCCTAGTACTAGCAGAAGTGTGAGTGCTCATCATTTTCTCAATGGTGAACAGTGGTAGGTCTCCACAGGGCTTTTCTGAAGACCATCCCCATACTCCCTCCTCTACCCTAACCCTCCCTCTCCCCACCCATTTAACCTTCCTACTCCATTATCCCCTTCCCCTTTATGTCTCTTCAATCTACCTCCCCTCCCACAACATGCCATGCTCCCATGTTGCCTAACTACTTTTCTGACCTTTATAGATTTTCAAATTGAAACACATGTATCTAAAGATTCAGTGCTAGCTTCCACATATGAGAGCTATTATGTAAAACATTTCTTTCTTGCCAGGTGTGGTGGTACATGCCTTTAATCCCAGCACTCGGGAGGCAGAGGCAGGCAGATCTCTGTGAGTTCAAGGCCAGCCTGGTCTACATAGTGAGTTCCAGGCCAGCTGGGGCTGCAGGGAGACCCTGTCTCAAAAAAGAAGACCAAAAAAATTTTTTTTTTCTTTCTGGGTCTCGATCAGTACACTCAGGGTGATGGCAAGTCCATTAATTTACCTTTAAATTTCATAATATTTTTTGTCTTAAGAGATGAAAGAAATCCCATTGTGTAATAGTACCATATGCCATTATCTGTTCACCAATTGATGGCCGTGTAGTTTGTTTGCACTTTCTGTCTAGTGGGTAGAACATCAGTGAACATTGATGAGCAGGTAACTCTGTAGTAGACTTCAGAGTTCTTTGAGCACATGACCAACAGTGTTTTATTTGAATCATGTCATAAATCTACTTACATTTTTGAGAAAACTCTATGCTTATTTACATTGTACTGCACTGGTTTGCCCTCACACAGCAGTGAATAAGTGTTTTCCTTTCCCTAAATCCTTCCAGCATTTGTCATTATTTGTCTTTTTTAATCTTAGTTATTCTAACTAGGGTAAGAGGAAATCACCAAGTATATTTTATTTGTATTTCCATGGTGGCTAAAGAGGGTGAACATAAAAAAAAAAGCTCTCAGCCACTGGTGTTTCATCTTGTGGTAAGTCTGCTTAATTGCGTGTCCCATATTTTCAAATTAGATTGGTGCTTTTCTTAGCTCTTTGAGTTCTTTGTATATTTTAGATATTAACTCTCAGATTCATAGCTTGTAAGGATTCTTTCTCATTATCTAGGTTGAGTCCTCCCTCAAATGATGGTGCCTTTGCTGAATAGAAGCATGTCAGTTTCACAAAGTCCCATTTGGCATTATGAAATTGTTTTAATTGGATTTCAGTCCTTAAAGAATTTCTGTGAAGTTATTGTCTATCATGAGGATAACAGTATAGAGATTTTGGTGACCACACTTAACAAGGAGTCCAGTCTTTTCAAATGTAGTCTGCCAACCAGCCTCCCTCCTGTTTTCCCATCTTGTTTATGTGTTTGTTTGTTTATGGCCCAATGCAATTAGAGTTGCCAACATGAACATGTTTGTGGAGGTACTTGGAGAGACAACTTACCAATGGTCATAGCACTGAGGAATATAACCCACCTCCTCCAGGAAAACTGTCAATAGTCTCTCTGAGTTTCAGGCAAGGGGCAGAGGGTCAGAAAGGGTGGTGGAGGAGACACACATTCTATACAGAGGGACAAGGAGGAGAACAGAGAAGAAATTCAGACACAAAGTTTCAGAAAAAGACACACGACATCAGGTTTCCTGAGCTGTAAATCATAACTTATTAAAGATTTACAAAAATAGATAATTTAATTGCAATTAAATGTGTGGCAATATGCGATGTTAAAACAATGTTTGAAAATGTTCTTCATGAAAATAAGAAATTAATATGTTAAAGTGCATACATGTGTTGATACAAATATTTACTTTAAGAACATGCCAATATCACTACAGTTCTTTGAATTTCAGTCATAAACACATGTATTTGTAGGTAAACAAAAAGAGAGAATCAGCACATATCCACAGTATCTATTTCTAATTAGTGTAACTAGCATTGACTTATGTTTTGCATTATCATTGTGTGTTTGAAAAGTATACTGAATTTTTATCACTTTCCTAAGGAGAAAATAAGATAGTTTCTTTTTATTTATTTGTTATTTGTATTTTATGTGTATGAGTGTACTGCCTACATGTGTGTAAGCTCATCTGTGTTGTTCAATACCTGCAGAGGTCAGAAGGAGCCCTCAGATGCACTGGAAGTAGAGTCACAGCTGCTGTTTGCCACCATATGGGTGCTAGAAGTCAAACCTGGATCTGCTGCAAGAGCAGTCAGTGTTTTTAATCACTGAGCCACCTCACCAGACCCCATAATTGAGATGTTTTCATAGCAGACCTAAGACAAGTTTTGATCTTGAAGAAATGGCAATGTATGTTATATTCTACAAACCCTCCTGCTGATGAGCTCTAAGATCTTTGACAAAATATTAAAAAGAATTCATTGAAGGTGTTAGATCAGGAGTGACCAGGGTGATGAGAAAATAAAAGAAAAATGAGACCAATCTCAAGAGATGCAAATGTTCTTTATGAGAAAAACAAAGGAATGGTGAAAGGCCTCCACATGGATGGTGCAGAGTGCAGAGGCAGAGTTGGCTTGAGAATTTAGAGAGCTTGAAAGAGGAAGGATCCGGCAAGGGAATGTCTTATCAGCAGTTCTTCATCTTGAAAGGCTGAGAATATGTTAGATACAGAATAGAAACTAGGAGTTAGGAACCACAAAACAAGACCCCCCATTCCCCAATATGCATAGGAATGACACTACTGTCCTTCACTGACCACATAATAATTCAAAATTCCACACAAACAAAGGAGAAGCAATTTCCCAAGTCCCAGTAGAGCTGTCAGAAGGGACCTTGGAGTTAGGCCTACCAATTTAGACAGGGTTAGACCACTGAGTTTCTATCCACAAGAGTCTATCTAAGAAGCAATTTGGGAGTCTTTTAGATAGACCCACTGAAGGGGTACCCCTATTGCCTCACCCTGTGTCCCTGTTCAGCATGGAAGAAGCCACAGCGGTCTGTGTCCTGATTCCCTATCTGCAAACTGGGAAACCTTTTCAGAGGATGGCATGATGAGAATAGGAGGTAGGAATTGGCTAGGCAGTTAGGGTAAAAAGACCCCATAGAAAAGTAGCCAGTTTCTTGGCTAAAAGTCAAAATGTCCTTGGGCCTGTTAGCAACATACTCTGTTCCAAAGGCCAAAAATGTTGAAAGTATTTGGGAACTTGTATCTAATCCTTAAAAGATTTTAGGGTCACCTCTTCAGAGGGGAGAATGTTAGAGTAGCCAAAAGCTCCATAAAAATAAATAAATAAATCAAAGAAGAAAAAAGAAAAAAGTGATTGGGAGACATCGGAGGAGTTGGAGAGGAGGGAGTGGGCATGGATTTGATCAAAACACCTATATGCATGTATTAAATTCTCAATAAACATTAAAAAAAAAAAGTGAGCACTGAGTCCGGGAATGAGAAACCCACTCCCCAGTTAAGAATCTCACAGAAATGTGAACATCACAAACCAGAAGGAGGTCCAGAGAACTACTGAGGTACCAAGAAGTGATGGCTGAAGTGAAAACTAGCCTCACACACCATTAAAACTCTATTATAACAATTAAAATTGCGTACAGTAATCTATTCATCAGTGATTACAAATGCCCAACAATAGAAGCAGCTAAGCACTGGGAAGCATAAAGCGCAGGAAGACCAAAATGATAACAATCAGGACAAAAATCCAAGAGCAAAGAGTTTGGACAGTGAAAGTAAGAAGTGATCCTGACGGACGGGAAGAAAGGCTCTGCTGCTGGTGGACGACGCTAACTGAAAGGCAGTTCCCAGCCCTGAAGACGTGGAGGTAAGCCGAGGGACAGGACAAAGGACAGGCTGCGCACAAGGAGGAGAGCCAGCTGCGGTTGCGCGGGCTTGAGGTGAAGAGCCTCTGAGACTGGCATCTGCACATGTGCATATAGGCAGTACAAACACACAGATGTACACACAAACATACATATGCCACAAATACACATAGATATACAAACACAAATACACATCCATACACACATGCATAAACATCCATACATACACACAAACATACACACATACATACCCATACACCCATACACATATATACATGTATACACATATACACATGCACATACACATATACATACATGCACACACATAAACATGCACACACATACATATATACACATACACATGCAAAAATACACAAAAATTACTTGCATGGAAAGGATTATCACTAGTAGTAAAGGGCATTTTACATGTCATATGGCATGTGTGATAAAACTAACGTTCTTGTGCTTTGTTATTGCCTCTATATATACTTTATATTATATATATGTATTATATATATATATAAAATACATAAAGGCCTATTGAGTCAAATTTGTGTCCCCAAATGCCCTTCAGTGTGGGTCCATCCACTGGAGCCTGGTCAATCTATCCAGCATCACACTCTTCCAGAAACCTGACCCTCCCTCTTCCTGTACCTATCAGTTCCCTGTAGTTCCTCAGCAAGGTTGGGGAACACAATAAAGTACATGAAATCAGGTGTGTGGTTGGTATTGAGGAGGTGTACAGTGAGTGGAGGGGCTCTAAGTATGACCAAATTCTATGAAATGACCCAAAATTCATTTTTAATAAAAATTCATTTTAAAAAGCCCTCAAATTCATAAAGATATGGCTACTGTGATTGAAATTCAAAAAG